GAGCTGGCCACACACACAAAATAAATGAATGAATGAATAAATAAATAAATTCTTAAAAAAAAATGTTGTCTTGTGAGGTGACTCCATGAACCAGTAGCTCCCAAATCTGTACTTCTGCCTAGATCTCTCCAAGTCATTCACACTTTTGTAACAGCTCAAAACAATATGACACTACCCAGAATCTCTACCTGGATTCTTCCTCAGTAATTCAAAATTAAAACAAGTCCAAAGTTAACTTTTCTGCCTTTCCAAGCCCACTTCTTCCTCCTCCTTTCCTATGTTAATGAAACATCCTTAGTGGAAACTGCATGCCAAGAACTACTGGAAGCATCCTACACTCAATCATTCCTAGCCCTTATTGTCACAACCATTCATCATTAGGAACAGAATTTGGAGATAGTATTATTAAACACTTGTCACCTGGCAGGCAGTGAATTGTATACATTATTTCTAATAAGCTTGCAAAAGATGTTTCTCACTCATTTTACAGCTAAAGTAGCCACACCTCAATTAAGCTTAAGTTCACAGACACATAAGGAACAGGGTCCTGATTCCCTTTGGAATCCAACCTATCTGACACAGGGCACAGATCGCTCTTTCCCTCTCAGATGCTGCCCTTCTACTTCAGCCAGTCCCCCACACCTAGCCCTTACTTTGTCACCACATGACCATCATGATTCTGAGCCTTGCAGACTATCATGAAGGTTCCTAACTGACTTTTTCACTTTAATCTTGCCTTTAAACTGCAATAGAGGGGCTGGAGAGATGGCTCAGTGGTCTAAAGCACCTACTTGGAACAAGCTTGGCAAAGCACAGGGACCGCGGTTCAATCCTCCAGCACCACATGCCAGCCAGCCGCGCCCCCTGGTGGGCTGAGCTGGCCACACACACACACACACACACACACACACACACTAAATGTTAAAATAAAAAATAAATAAACTGCAATAGAATGATCTAAAAAATGAAAAAAAAAAAAAGGCCACCTCATCCTTTCACCTCTTTCCTTCCAAAATGGGTTCCTATCACCACAGAGCAAAACACCTATTTAATCACAGCCAGGCTTCAACTCACCATGGGATATGGGGCCAACTCAACTGACTATACTGCTATCCAACAACTCATACTTTAGTATTTGCTGTGACTATTTCTCATGTTTCACACCTCTACGGCAAACTCTCCTTTACCTATTATTGCTCAAGACCAGATTCAACTGTTATTTGTAAAGTCCTACCAGACAAGCACATATTTCTAGTAAATTTTAACTTGGTGAACAAGGTCTTGAAATACAAGTACATATCCTCTCTCTTAATTTCTCCCCATACCTCTCTCCATCTCTCCAGCAGGAGAACTATGGGTGATCATTTCCCAAAACCAAGATGTTGCAGCAAGAGATCTTGTCTATACAAGAGGAGGAGAAAAAGATGAAAGAATCCCTCATGTCAAATGAGATTAAGATGGGCCAGGGAGATAGATCAGTAGATTAAGTGCCGGCCTGGCAAGCATAAGGTCCTGAGTTCAATCCCCAGTTCTGGGGAAAAAGAGATATGTAAAATGAGGGTAACAGCGCAAAATTTTGTAGGAAAACACCACCTAAATAAGCTTGCAGTAGTGTGAACAACCAATCTGTTTAACAACGCAATGTTGTACTTCCATGAAATGTTCAAAAGAAGGCAAAAGCGTCATTAGATAAATTCCTTGCTAAAGTTGCACAAAAATAAAAAGACTCTATTGAGCCAACAGAGAGCAGTGATCCATTGACAATAGTGAAAAGTCACTCTACACAATAATCCTCCTCTGCTTTGTCTCTCACACCAGCCACTAAGTTTTTCTGAGCTGGGTGTAGGTTATTTTTTATTTTTCTTTACATTTTGTATTTCCTTTATTACTTTGTACTGTATTGTACTACAGCACTGTAATCATGTTCATATGCATATTTTTGGATTGTGGAATGAGTCATTTGAGTTCCATTATGGAGGAATTTCTTTTGATATAGAAGTGCTTTGTTTTATAAGCATGTTTCTGGAACAAATTATGCTCACAAATATATATACTACATACACATATATCCTTTCTAGTCCAAAGCATAGCTTAGCGGGCTGGCCAAATAGCTCAGTGGATTAAAATGCCTGCATACAGGCACAGGGGCTGGGGGTTCCATCCCTGGGCCTGCCATGCCCGCCTGCCCTTGGGGCCCCCGCTGAGACTGGGCATAGTGGCACAAGCCTGTAATCCCAGCTCTTGGGAGGCTGTAAACAGGTGGATCACTACATAGTGAGATCTTGAACAACCTGTAGGTCATTCCCCAAAGAAATGCAAAAAAAAAAGGCATAGCTTAGGCTGAATGAACACTTCAGTGTACAAAATTCATAAATGTTTGGTATACAAATCTGAAATACATATATATACAAATTTTTCATGTAAAAATCTAAAATTCCATCCAATATTTATGATGTCTTTAGCAAAACTTAATCAGCTTCTCATTAAATCATCACACCTTTCCCTTCATGAACACAACCTTCTGTAATGTCTTCAGAAGAATTGTGAAATACCCCTCTATCACTACCAAATTTATTAAATTCAGAGTTAAGAAACAAAGCAGCAAAAGCCTACTGATGTGTGAAGAAAACATCTTCTTAACAATCACACCATCTTTTTTCCACTTAGAATCATAAAATCTTAGAAATGAAAGGGAACAAGAAGTTTGAATTTTAACTCCCTACCCAACAGGCAATCCTTTCTGTTGACAGAACCCTTGACAATTCAACCATGCCTGAATATTAAATTATTTTAATTACTGTTAAAAAGTAAATGTTTCTGCATTTTTTAAACCAATGACTGAACATAACACAAATAGGCTTTTTTATTTTTATTTTTTAAATGTATGTGGTACAGGTTCTCACTATGCAGCTCGGGACTCTTAGGGATCCTCCTGTTTTCAGCCTCCCCAGCACTAGGATTACACCATGCACCACCAATGCCCTAACTTGGCAATGGCTCAGCACGCCCAGGGCTGGGACTGGCACAGCATGCAGTACCTACCAGGGATCAAAACCCAGTTCCTGAGCTTGCTTAAGCAGGCGCTTAGTCCACTGTGCTATCTCTCTGGCCCCAAACAGGGATTTTAAAGAGCTACTCTAGTGAGAGCTAATGGAGAAAAATACTAATTTTTTTTTATTTTTCATTTCTCAATCATTAGTAAAATACTCAAAATCTCGAGTTACCATAAAGATCAAAAGCCTAACAAGTCACCTCCAAACTCAAGTCAATAAAATATAACTGCACCAGGTCAATGAACCTCTCTTAACAGTTATATTAATGAAGTCAATGTAACACTCTGCTCAACTTTAAACTGAATTTACAGCAACAAATAATCTCATCCCCCATGGGCCTATGTCAGTCCAGACAAGTCACCAGCAATTCCTAGCAGGCAGTCCACTTAACAGACTCATTTTTAAAAGTACACGGGTCCTCTGCCTCCGTACTTGTCACTACAGAACATGTCAATAAAAAGCACATTCCACCACAGATAGTAAATAGTACACTGTGTAGAGAATTACTGGTAAAGTCTGTCTAAACAAGAAAAGTTCAACTTAACTTTATTTATTTGCAGAACCAGGGTTTGAACTCAGGCCCCTGCACTTGCTGGGCAAGCACTTATTCTACTGAGCCATCTCCCCGGCCCCTTAAACTTTAAAAAGAAGTTGCCGTGGAAATTTTATTCTCTAAACATTCAATTAATAAATATTTTAGGGGCCGGGGAGATGGCTCAATAGGATAAGCGCTTGACTGGCAAATGCAAGAATCTGAGTTCAATCCCCGGTTCCGAAAATAAATAAATAAATATTTTATTTTCTCCAAGTCAGAGTTTAGTCTTTTGTTTGATGCATAGTCTACCTTTGTTAAGAAAATAATACTATACGAAATTATTTGAACAATATTGCAAAAGTCAAACTAATTGGAAATTTTCCAGGATCTAAAATCCACAGGTAAAACACCTTAATGATCACTCACGTGAAAAATCAATCTTACTACTCATATATTTCTAAATTCCCCAAATGAATCCTCACCATAAATTTAAAAACAAATACACTATGACAAATCCAAGCTTCCTGTAGAAAGACCATCGTGTTTATTTCTTTTCGTGCTGCAAGTCATATTACGAATGGCCTTTTCCCCCGGTGTTTCTCATCATCTCATTCTCTGTCCTCTACTCCAAACAAGTAAAAATTTTCAAAAAAATAAGATTTGCATCCGCTCCATCCCATCTTAATCACTGAAAGTCTTTCCTCTTGTAAATGCTTGACAACAAAATAAGATACAATTTACAAAGATGACATGTCCAGCCTATAATGTCCGCAAAACTTGAGAAATACGAATGTATGGCACTCTAAACCCAGATCCATTTTGGAGAAGTCCCTCCAGGGCTCAAATGTATGCATTATGCAACAGCCTCCATTCCAGATGTTAATCCCTGCCTGTGATGCAATGATAAAAATCCCAACAGCAAGGGTACAATCAATCCGGTATTTAAGTAATGTTTATAAGACAACAACAAATTAAATCAGGAATTACCAAATTCTTCGGAATCTGAAGAATGACAAATTGTCCACAGGTCCTACATCACAATGAAAACTTTCCCTTGCATAGTATTCTAGCGATACATCCCTCTCGCCCTAACCCCTCAAAATATCCCTGCCCGGAGCGTTTTCATCCGGGCTGTGAAAGGCTCCGGGGGGGGGCGGGGGGGACCTGCATCAGGTGGTTATCGCACCATCTACTCCCGACACGCTCCCCAAAACCATTTCCCAAGGCCGACGCCTGCGAGACGCTCCACCATTCCTCTGCAAGGACAATACGAGAGAAAATGGGGTCCAGACCCGCGCGGCGCACCACCCGAGGATGAGCGCTCCATCCTCCGCCCGCGTCCCGAGGCGCAGGCCGCCGCCGGCGAGTCTGAACGGAATTCAAGAACCGGGGCGGGGGTGGGGGCGCCCTACCTGTGCCGCGGTGGCTGCGGGCGCGCGGGGCG